AAACTGACAAAACCTGTTAATCACACCCAAGACCTGATCACAAGCCTCCGGGGAGACATGGAAAAACAGTAAAGCATCATCAGCTAAGAAAAGATGGGAAACAGAAGGTGCTTGCCGAGAAATTCGCAGCCCTTGGATACAACCCAACTTCTCCGCACGGGAAATCATAAGGGAGAAAACTTCCATACATAAAACAAACAGATAAGGGGATAGAGGATCCCCTTGACGTAGGCCACCAGCAGGAAGAATAACTTGAGACGGACTCCCATTGACCAAGATCTGGTAAGAAGCCGTAGAGACACATTGCTTTATAAGTCCAATCCAATAAGGAGGAAAACCAAAAAGCAACCCTATCATAGGCTTTGTGCATATCCAATTTCAGGACAGCCGAACAGATCCACGTATTAGAAGTATTCATATACGACAGAACTTCATGAAGCAACTAAACTGTGTCCGACATCAAATGTTCTGGAACAAAAGCATTCTGCGTTCCTGAAAGCAAAGAAGGCAAAACCTGGCGAAGCTTGTGAGTCATACATTTCACGATACATTTATAAAGAACATTGCAGAGACCAATTGGCCATAATTGGGATGGATGATCCTGCTGGTCCACCTTGGGTAACATCACTTAAAAAGTATGATTCCACTCCTTTAAAAGATAACCATGAGCAAAAAAGTATTGTATCGTAAAAATCACCTCTAGACCCACTTTAGACCAATTAGTTTTAAAGAAAGCCGCCGTAAAACCATGTGGACTTGGAGACTTATCGTTACCAATGTGAAACATAGCATATCTAATTTCTTCTTTAGAAAATGGTTGCATAAGTATATGTTGATCCGACATAGAGATAGTCGGGAAATTTAATTCAGACCACCAATCTTCCAGATCCGAAAGAGGATACTGCTGAGCACAATAAAGATCAGAGAAATGCTCTACTAACAAAGACTTAATATGCACAGGCTCAGAAACCCAGTTACCCAGATTATCTTTCAAACTAAAAATTTTATTGCGACATCGGTGTTCTTGAACAGAAGAGAACAGGAGACGCGAATGAGAATCACCATAAGTATCCCACTTAACATATTAATTATATATAAACATATTAATTATATATAATTATATATATATATATAATTAATATGTTTATTGACGTGTAATTAAAAGTGATGATAAATAACCTAATACTTTAATATTTCCTCCGTCTCCTAATACAAAGCCTCATTTCCTTTTTGGGTAAACCAAAATACAATGCCTCTTTCTATTTAAAGGTTGTATTTTCTTACATTATTACCCTTTTTTGATGAGTTGTCATCTTTTTTCCTTTACTTTTTTTAAGTACTTTTAACATTAATTTGTTTTTTGATGAGAATGGATCAAAGGCATTGGTGTCCACACTAGTTCAACATCTGCCCTCATGGATGAAATACTAGCCATCTTAGCTACATCTTGGGCTATTTGGGAGAAATGGGATGATGTTCAGTTCCTCTCTGACTGTCTAAGGGTTGTACAAGGAGTTAACAAAGCTATGATTGGTTCTGATGACATGGAGAACTATTACTCTTTATGCAGGGGCCTAATCTCAACCGTAGGAAGGGGAAAGTTGTCCAAGGCATCAAGGGCGGCAGTAAGGGAAGCGGATGTGGCGGCCAGGCAAGCTGTGTTGGGTCTACATCATTCTTCTAGTCAGTTGATTACTGCAGTTTCTATTCTACAATAACATTTTGTAATTATTCAAAAGCCAAATGTGGCTCAAACTTCGGTCTGTAATAGCACTAATTTCTCTTTTGGTACAAACTAAGTACGTGGTAGCTTAACTGCTAATCAACAATTAATGGTAGGGACGGGATGCCCACTAACCCATCAGCCACCTTAAACTTGGAAGGTGCATTTTGTAATTATGGCTTAAGCCAGCTACTTATTTAATCTAATCTATGTTCTGTTTCCTACCAAAAAAAAAAAAAAAAAAAAAAAAAAAAAAAAAAATCAATTTCTAACACTTTCGCTCTCTATCTCTTCAATTATTCCCAACTACTTTTTCTTTCTCTCTATCTCTCTCTACCCCCACATGCACATATGTACTTTTAATCATTAGTTTTAAAGAATGTACAATTTTCTTAATTCCCGCGCAAAAACCAAATGATGCTTTGTATTAGGGGACGAAGGGAACATAATTTAAAATTAAATTTGATGGCTTTCTAGAAAAAGCTAAGTTTTTCATGTAACGTAGCAGTTAGGATTTTGAGTGAAATAATGAAAGTAAAAAATAGTATGTTTTCTTTCATTAAGTAAACATGTGTGTGGTTTTCAAAAAAAAAAGTAAACATGTGTGTGGTTTTCAAAAAAAAAAAGTAAACATGTGTGTGGTTTTCAAAAAAAAGTAAACATGTGTGTGCGTGCCTCATAGATCACATGATATGATATGCTTTACTTTGTATGTAAGTTCGATACCAGGCCAAATCAATAGTTGATATACTATGCTTCGAAAGCTTTTTACTAAAGTAGGGCTTCATTATAATAACACCTTCAAGTTATTTATGATTCTTGTCCTTTGCGTGGGAATCAATATTTTATGTTTATCCTCGTAGGATAGGATGGAGGCATTATTGGTCCAGATTTTTCCATGGGCGTATGGCTTGGTTTGATAGTTGCATCGGTATGGAATATATTTGTTAATTATATAGTTTTTGAATTTTTTTTTTTTTTTTTTTTGTCTGTTTATACGAGTCAAACCCACCATTCCTTCCCCAGCCCAATTTCTATATTTTTTACCTCGGACTTTGAATAGAGGTGTCAAAAACTTACCATCCCGACTAAAATGTAGCCAATTCAAATTTCTACTTATATGTGCATAACGAGTTTGCATGACTTCAACTTGAAATGGACTTGATCCGACGACCCAAATAGTCCCTACTGAACCCGATCCAATTTTCCAAATTGACACCTCTAGTTTTGATGAATGGATTCAATATTTTTTAAATTATCACCCAAACACGTGTTATGGGTTTAAACCATCGTGTTAGTCTCACAAGCAAACTAAGCATGATTCGCTCTTCACTCATTTCAATTATTATTTTTTTGTAAAAGCCGCACCACACGACGGGGAAGGGGCTGCTGCCGCCCACCACGCTGGCGGCGGTGGCCGGCCGATGGGAGGTGGTGGTGGCGGCCGACCACCTTGTGTGTGTGTATGGGTGTGTAAAAATAAAGGGGAGGGGGGAAATTTAACGGAGAGAAAATAAGAGAGAGAAAGAGAGAGTTTACCTTTGGGTATTCTCCACCTTGGACAAGATCTAACTTGCTCATAAGATGGTTTAAGATGGGTAATTATACCCCCTCTCAAAACCCTACTAACCTTAAATTCCCTTTCTACCTTTAATGATCCTTTCTCCTATTCAAAATAGTCATTTGAATTTCTTTAAATACCATTGACTTTAAATTTTCTTTTTATAAAATAATATGCCCCAAAGTTTCTAAATAATAAAATAAAATATTTTCAAAGGAATTAAATAAATAAAAATAAACCTTTAATTATAAACCTTTTTAAATTAATAAAATACCATAAATAATTTATTTCGAATTATTTAAATGCTTTATAAAATAATAATTTAAATTAAAATACGTATAAAATACGGGGTATTGTTTGTCAGCATAACTAACTTCTCTTTGTTGATGACCTATTTGGAGGCCTTGCAGTAGATATCAAGAACTTCTTTCAAGGCAGTATCATCTGAAAAGAAAAGGTGAATAATCTTTGGGCCTCTTTGGGAAACCTTTAAACCCACAATACGCCCCTCGCTTTCTTTATCACGAATTAAACCCGATAACCCTTTCATACATAATAGGAAAAGATAGGGGGATAAGGGATCCTCTTGTCGGAGGCCACACTTAGGTTTAAAGGCTTCTTGTGGGCTGCCATTGACAATAACCGAGAAAGAGACTAATGTAACACAATTCATGATAGTTCTATCCATAAGATTTGGCAGACCAACTTTCCAAAGAACTTTTTCAAGAAAATCCCATCTAATTCTGTCATAAGCCTTACTCATGTCAGTTTTGATTGCTAATTTTTCTTTCACACCCTTCCTAGTTTTTCTAATATTTTCTAATAATTCATGAGCAAGTAGAATGTTATCAGAAATAGTTCGGCCTGGAATAAAGGCATTTTGGAAAACGCTCACCAAAACATTCATCACTTTTCTCAGTCGATTAGTAACGCTCACCTTCTTCCGCCATCCATTCCACATTCCACAATATCATTTTTAATAGCTTCCAGCTTATTTCGTGCCTGCCTACCTTTCACAAAGTTGAACAAGTACCGGGAACAAGTATCTCCCAACGTAATGCCATTTCAATTTTGCACGTTGTCTCCAGTACAGAGCCATATTTCTCGAGTACTCCTCCAATTTCCTGCTGGCAATCCGAAATTCTTCATCCCTTCCATCAGATTCCAGAAGCAATTGCGCTTCCATGAGGTCTTTTTCGAATTTGTCCCATTCAGCGTTCCACTCCTCCCTCTTATCGAGCGTCCATTTTTTAATTCCTGTCCTCGCTTGCTGTAAATTCCTTGATAATCTCAACATAGGTGAGCCTCTCTGGAAAGCCAGCTAGTGTTTGCATAGCCCTTGTCCAATCTTTCTAGAACTAACTCCTCACCCTCTCTCCCATTTGACCAAGTGAACTTTGGCCCTTCATAATTTAAGCCGTGGAAATCATTTAGTGCCTTCCACTCATTAAAAAGATTAGCACCCTTTAAGATTGAGGAGTTGTGACCTGTTTTGTCTAAACTAGAATTAACTTGTTTGAAATCGCCTAAGCTCGTAATTGGCAAATTCAGATTTGGGTTCGTCCATTGGTTTAGACAGTCCCAAACCTCGGCTCTAAGGGAACTACAAGGAAATTGATACAAACAAAAACGACATCAAAAAGGTTCTCGTCTTTCCAACCTAGCCAAAGACCCCCACAAGACCTGATGCTTTCAATATCCGGTCCATAATGGGTATCGCATCAGGCACCTCTCTGAAGGGCCCCACTTATTAAGCAATTAAAAATTAAACCCGTACTACTTTTAGTTTCCGCTAGAAAGATAAAATCCGGACCACAAGACCCAACAAGTCTTCTGATTTTTGGAATTATCGGGGTTGTTGGGCTTTTGATGCCCCGACAATTCCAAAGAAGCCCGATCACTGAGCCGGAGGTGGTTGTTCTGGGTCAACCACCGCAAGCCCATCACCTGCATAAGTTAGAAAAACGTTTGATTCAAAAACAAAAGAAAGACATCGACCCAGGCCCCAATTTGGAAGAAGAAGATGGCCCTGCTTCATGATCTCCGAAGTCAATGCTTTTTCCTTGTCATTGAAGAATCCGCATCATCCTCCTCTTCTTCTATAAATTGGAGTGAAACCAAGTCAAGATTTGAAATTGGCTTTCTCTTCAGGGGGCAATTCTCTTGCTTAGATGGGTGAGTCTGGTTCTCTAATTTCCACCGTACGTGGATGATTTTGTGCATCGACCTCAATAAAAAACCGTTTGTTGTAACCTGAATTATCAGCCCTTCTGCCAGCGATTTCATTGTTTGGCTCAACCCTGGATTGTATAGCTGACCCCATGATTATATCGAACCTGATGCTTTCAATATCCGGTCCATAATGGGTATCGCATCAGGCACCTCTCTGAAGGGCCCCACTTCCCTATTTACCCCTCCGTTTAGACCAGCATCCAATCCAACACCGTGATTATTTATTGTATTGGTACCCGAAGATAATCCATCGCCCTCTCCTTCTACGTCCATCGCAGCAGGAGCATTCTGGGCTGGTTCTTGTTGGGCCTGTCCACCTTGTCCCACGATTGGGCCTCTAAACGGGGCTCCCCTGCTATTAAACCTTTCACCTGGTCTAATAGCCCTTCCCCCATTCTCAGTTCCCAAATCAAAATCAACCATGATGTTCAAAGTCGATCTCGAACGGCATACCAAGCATTTCCCCCACCGTCTCAGCCATGTGAGAATTAAGGTATTCACATGGGAGCCCACAAATTTTAACCCAGAACTTTACCCGTCTGAATCTGATCGTGTGTGGCACCTGGTTCGGCCACCAAGGCACCATCGAAGCATGCCTTGGTCATGGCGAGAATTTCCCTCTTGTCTTCATCATTGCAGCATTTGAAGACATAGAGGTCATTCATTTTGAAGACGTCAATGTAATCTCTCTTCCTCCAACGAGAGTTCACAAATAAAGTTGGAGATGGAAGCAGGGCTTAATGTTCGGTAGTCTAAAAGATCACTAAACACACATTTCTCCCAAAAAGCTCTGCTTCCATACACTACATGATTCCAGTTCGGCCAGAGCAACTGCTGTGTTAATATTGTTTCTAGTGTTTGTAGAATTATTCATGCTTTAAGAGGAAAAACAACAAGGAAAAAAGGTGAAAAGGAGGAGAAAAGGCTGAGAAGAGGTTGCGAAACAGGGGTTGATATTTATAGTGACCACCTTGGCAAGGAGGCGTTTCGAATTCTGGCCTCGGAGAAGGTGAATAATGCTTGCAGATTAGCTTTGGTTAATGTGTGTTACTGTCGTAATTAACTGTAGCTTTTTGGATAAACGAAAAAGTTAAGACACTCTTTCTTTTAACAATTAACTCCGTAACTTAAAAAAACCGGGTAGAATAAACGGAAGATGGTTTTTTGGAACTAACGGTAACCATTGTGATGATTACGGGCGGGAAAGTTGATTGGCTTTTAGCAGGGGCACCAATCGACGAAGCCAAGTGGCATTACAGGGATAAAGGTGGGTTTTGCAAAGTAGCTTACCGTAGGCACAACTTACCGCAACCGTAATGATGTGAAGTTGAAAGGATTAAAAGATAATTGGCTTGGGCCACCATACCTCCACCTTGGGAGAGAACACTCTAATTCTAGAGTGAGAAGCTCTCTATTTCTAGAGAGAGATTCTTACTATATGTATAGTGAATTTAGTGATGGCACAGTAATTGAATATCAATAATATATTCATTGAGACAATTCTAATAAGTACCCACAAGAATATACATTTCTTATGTATAATTCACAAAAATGGTCAAAGTGGGTCTAATAAATAGTGCTTGATGACGTATAGTTGTATATCGTATGATTTCTTTGTTTAATTTCTTTAATTGTAACAATGTTTATTAGATGAGCGGGCAACACGGTACCTCACTTAATTACAAGGTGGGATATCGATGTTGATTCGGAGCAGATTTGTACAAGTGAGTTTCCCCGAAGTATTCAAACTTTGGTTGATCTTGACATGTGTTACTCCCTCCGTTCCTGAAAGAGGGTTGCGTTTTCCATTTCAGGCGTTGCCCTTTAACAGCTACATTATGTTTCAATTAATATTTTACACATTTTTTATGCTGCTATCTCCATTTATCAAAATATTTACATAGTTCCAATGCAAAATATTTCTATTTACAAAGGTATTTACATACTCCCAATACAAAAATTCCTATTTTCAAAGTTTATTCAATCTTATAATACTTGATATATGTGACACCTAATTATTGATTTCCACTATCTTATTTTCCTTATTAACCGTGAGAATGAAACTACCAAACTTAATTTCTTTCGAGAACAAAGGGAGTAATAATATTTGTCCCGCTTGGTTTAGTGACACTTGGAAAAAAAAACAAAAAAAAAGAAATAGGGAGTTTAATGAGGGAGCCCCAGTTCCTCATCACATAATGACATTTTGAAAAATAATGTAATGTTTTTCACTAGTGGATACCGCCTGTCAATTTTAAGTGGACCTCTCTACTCTTAACACATACCCCGTGAAAACAAAACTCGTTCCTCACGCACTGGGGAATAGGGAATTACTCATAGTTATTATACCACTAAAGGGAGGACTAAAATATTTATTAGAAGTATCAAGTATAACATCTCTCAACCAAAAAACACTCTCAGCTCTTCTTCCCCACTATCTGTCCCCTGTTTATCCCGACCTCACACGGCCACCCCAACCTCCGCCGCCCGAACAACCACCATGCACGGCCGTTGAGAAACCCGTGCACTTGTGCAATTACTAAGTTGTGAATCGGATTGTAAACCACCATTAAAACAAAGGTAAAATACTAATTAGGTCAGCTCCCTGTTCCCTTTTCTTTAATATATGATTAACTTCACTTATTTTATAGCCTAATTACAGCGTGGATTACCTGAAGGAGGGTACTTGCGCTAAGAATTTGGTGTTCTTTTCTACATTTTATAAATTGATCAGATTTTCATAAAAGAAAAAAAGGAAAAAGAAAAGAAAAGGCCTTGTTTTGCTTTGTTCTTCAATTTAAGCATTCTATCTTCATTTTTATAAGTATTTTTAAAGATCCAGTCTTTATTTTAAAATTGAATTAATGATGAGTATAGCATATGGCCTGTGTTCACTTATTGTGGAACAGTAAATTCGTTATCTAAGTTCAATTTACAACTAAAATAAGTTTAAACATGTTTTGATATGTGAAAGTAAGGTAATTAAAAAACAATTTATTAATAGTACTAGACTTTGGTATACTTAGACCAATACTCCCTTCATTTCAATATGCTTGCAACACTTGAGTTTGAAGTTTTGCATATAATTTAGGAAGGGTTGAATAAATAATGTACATGTGTAGTTAATGCTCTTAATGAGTACGAGTTGGGGGTTAGTAGGAAAGTGAAATTGGTAGAGAATGTTTGCAAGTGGGGTCATTGAAAAAGAGAAACGATGAAGAATAAAGCAATTGGGTTTGTTTGAAAAGGGAATAAAGATTTAATGCAAGTGTTGTTGCCTTATTGGTATTTAAACAATAGAATAATAGTGATCCGATGTCAATATAAAAAGTGTTGCAAGTATTACAAAGCTGGTGAGTGTCGCAAACATTAAGGTGTTACCTATATACATCTATTATTTGGAGTTTTGGGAGAAAAAGCTTATTAACTTTAGACCACTTATGGAAAATGGAGGGAAACATAATGTTGATTCTTGTATCATACGACTGACCATTTATTCCTTTCTTTTACCAATTTGTGCAACACTCAAACTCTTTCCACTAATCATATATGAAGTATTATATTAATGAGAAGCTCTTTCATGTAATATTATTATGCTATCAAGAAGAACTTGTGTCGGCTATTTCACGCAGATTGAATTCTGATAAAATCAATGGAGAACGGTCTAAGGAATTGTGGGCTGTGGCAAAGCATGGGAAATAAAAGAGTTGATAATGAAAAGAGAGCAAGAACACTGGAAGAGTTTGATTTCCAAGAGGAAACCAATGATCATTCTGCGAATGAGGTAATAAAGTGGCAAGTGTGTGATTTGTTATGATGAAATGATTATGGATATTGTATATTAATTCTTCCATAGTTGCTCATATATTGCTATGGGAATGTGAATGGAGAATGGAAGTTTTTTTGGTCACGTTTAACTGTTTTCCTTTCGTATGCCTCTCTGTATGGTCAGAGCGAGCTAAAGCTATGAATTTTGAAGACCTTAATGAAAATCCCATTGTGCTTTATATCCACTTCCTTGAAATAAATTTGATTTGGTAGAGATTTTCTGATATAAGCATATGATTGTATATTCTCAATTTCTCATAGCTAGAAAGTCAAAGAGTGATAAGTGGTTGATCACTTTGATGGTAATGGTGAAGTTTCACCTTTTGATTTTAAGAGTGCTAATGTCGTTATTGTATTGATTTGTAGATTAGCAATGCTGAAGGGAAGCGGCGAAAGCTGGAGCCTTGTTTGAACAAGGTGTTAATCATTGGACTTGTTGTGTTGATGAATGTTTTATACTAATAATATATTTGTGGTATAATCAAAATTTTATGTTGAGCTTAATTTTTTGTTGATTAGATGAAACAAAACAGTATAAGCAAAGGTGATCAAGTCAAGAACGCTGGTGAAGTGCCAAAGGATTGTGGGAATAGGGCAAGTGAAAATGTTAATTTTTATTCTCTTATCGTGGAAAAAGAAGCTTTGATATAATTTTACTTATCATCTGTTTTTTCTTCTGTATTAGAAGCAACCAAGAATTAGCTGTCGCGTTGAAGGCTTTGGTAAGATATGTCAGTCCCTCGATGACAGGAGAAAGAAATGGGTGAGGGAAATGGGGTTTGAAGGGTTGCTATATCTAGTAGACAAGGGTCTTTCAAAGGATCTTTGCTATTGGTTGATGACTCGAATTGATCCAATGAAAGAGCTTTTCAGAGCTGCTAATGGACGTGATTACAAACTATCCAAGGATCAAGTTAGGTGGATCCTTGGCATCCCAAAAGGCGATAAGGTTGTTCCTAGGAGGGTTAGGGACGAGGAGATGAAACGCAAAGTCAGAGACATTGAGAAGAACTTTGGGGGAGAATGCGAGGCAAGGTTGAAAACAAGTGAGAAAGTTATAAAACATAAGAGAATACCTGTAACCAGCGCCTTGATTGAAAGAGCAAAGGAGAGTTGGGGAGTAGAGCAGGAAGCAGAGTTCAAGACTGTTTTCTTAATCCTCGCACTGCATTTGGTGCTTTGTCCGACACAATCTCATCAGTTAGAATCAGATTTGGTACCTGCATTGACTTGTGCAGTGCAAGCGAAGAACTATGATTGGTGTGGATTGGTGTTGGAGAAGTTTTTTAAAAGTTGCTGCAGATTTAAAAAGAAGTTCTCTGCAAATGGATATGCTAAAGGATTTGGAGGATGCAGTATTTTCCTCGCAGTAAGTCATGTCATTAGTACTGCATGTATCCAATAATCGATGATGTTTGGTGTCATACAGTGGCTAATATGGTTAAATGACACCTGCAGATTTTTTACCTTGATCGATTGGATCGTAATCCAGTAATGTGGAGCAGATGGCCGAGAATAAAAGTGTGGACAAAAGCAGAGATGGTGAAAGCTAGGGATGAGGATAGTCTGGCTGAGCAGGGCGATTTTGGAAATTTAGGGGTAAGCGTGAGCACAATGTATGACTTGTATATGTTAAATGAGCTATGTTCTTTGTGAGTTTTCAGTGCATACTGATAAGCACTGATAATTTATGCTGCCTTTTATGTTGGAAATATGGGTACATAGAAAGTGAAATCATTTAATTATGTTTATAGTCATTACGCCATAATCTATTAATAACATTACTCTTTGATAACATGAAGCAATAGTTTCATCATTAACATAATAACATATGAACAAGTATTTGATGGACTAATATTATATATAATGAATACCTTTTGTGTTTTAAATTGTCATTATTGTTCTGAATGAGAAGCTAATCTCGTGTGATCAATGGATTTTGTCAGTTCATAGATGTTGATTATGGTAAGAAACACCCTTGGGAGGCTAGGGATACAGGTGGCACATCAGTTGTTGAAAAGGTTACTATTTTTGACTTAAGTAATAATACTTTGGAAATTTAGTGATCTAGAAGGATATTTAAAATTGTTCTGTGCGTGCAGGGGTTAAACCAAGATATTGAATCCCTACAGTCAAAGGAAGAAGAAGCAATTTTAGGACGTAATAATGGCTTATACAAAAGAAAAAACCGTAAAAGGAGGCGGATATCAGCTATGTATCCTGAACTGCTCATGTTCAAAAAGGCTAAAAGAAAAGGGCTCCAGGGTGGTGTGCCAAATGCATTGGCACAGGCTTGCAGAAGGTGTGCAGAAGGTGGATGCCCTATTGAGGGGGAAGGGCGAAATGAGGATGGCGGGAATGGAGATGATGGATACATATCATTGGCAGAGGAGGTTTGCACCCCAGTGGCTACTGATTTTGCAGTGGTGACAGAGCCTGTGGGTGAAAGCGGAGATAAAATGCCGTCTCCTTTAAATGAAGTGACTGTCACAAGTCTCACAACATCTCATGGGTGTTCAGAGCATAACAGCATGGAGGCTCCTCCGTGTTTAACACTCTCATGCAACACTCTGATGGCTTCTGCTTTTGTCCATGGTATCAGTGAGATGGATGCTAAATCCACCAATTTTAACTATAAGATGAACCCTCCTCGGAGCAATAGCCTTGCTGATCATTCTCTGTTTCCATCTCAGAATAATATGAAAGGAAAGAGCAAACTGCCCCAGATTTTGAATGGGAGTGTGGAGGAAAACGGCGAGGGAATTCTTCCTTGTTTACTCTCATCATGCTGCAATGTTATGGAGGATTCAGGTTTTGTTGACTGTGTTGAGAAGTTGTACATTGAAGATATCCCGTCATCTGAGAACAACAATTGTCTCAACATAAGCCTTGTTGACAATAACGAGATCATACGATATTCAAGTTTAGGGATTGCTTTTGAGAAGGCTATTAGGGAGATGGATTTGCAAATGGAACAAGTGAAAAAATGCAGGGAGAAATGTGTTAAAATGAGCAGTAACAGAAGTGTGGATAGTGTTGCAGAGATGCATATGGAAATCGTCCCATATTGTGACAAAAACACTAACCTTGAAATAAGCCATGAAGTTAATGTGAGTATTCCATCTCAAATAACACATCAGAGGGGTATCATTGAAGTTTCCAGCTCAACAAATACACTAATGGCTGATATTGATCAACACAAGATGGTTCATGAAGACATTAGCTGTATAAACGCAGGCAAGAGCAGTAAGCATTCAGAAGGTGCTCAACCTCGAGGTGAAACAGAAATGGATGCTACTAATGATCAAGGAAAGGCAGCCAAAGTAAATGAAAAGTTGGTGAATGGTTCTTGTGATGGTCCTGTGATTATTATTGCTGATGAGGACAGTGACGGTGAGAAGAAAAACGACGATTTTGACCCTTTCAAAGTGGTAGGATCGCAGCTTGAAGATCGGATCAGTAAGCTTGAAAAGATTGTTTCCCGGAAGCTAGCGTCTAATAAGTTAGCCTTCAAAACTACTATCAAGAAAAATAAAAAAAAGTTAGCCTTCAAAACTGAAGGTAAAAAGCTGTTAGGATGCTAGTATAACTTTCGGCCGATGGATGTGGCATGTACAGATTCTAGTCCTTTATCTGTAGTAGCTGCTAATCTTAGGAGAAGTAATCTGTTGATACTGTTACATTTTGCTAACTGATATCTGTATGCTGATTTGTATTATCATCTATTCCAGTAAATCTAATCTGGAATATATTTTGCTGAAATTCATTGTGTATTCATTTTATATTACTTGCTTCTGTGCTAACTCAGCATTAACAACATAAATATGCATTGTATATTTTGCTGAAATTCATTGTATGGTCATTTTATTTTACTTGCTTCCTCTGTTAAATAATTGATTTTGTTTTGCCAAAATATTGTGCCAAAATATTTTGACACACCTCTAATATGTGTTGGAACCCTGGAAAGTGACTAGAATTAATTTTACTTGCTTCCCTTACAAATATGTAATTTCACTTTCGCTGTTGTACGAAAAAAATGTGTTAGCAAAAATAAAATAGTACCAGATATTGCTTAGAAGATTACTGGCTTCGTACTTTTGAATTTGACTCCTACGGGGTTTAAGGTAGTAGTCCCGTTTGTTGGGGAATTAAAAATTGTAAAAAAGTGATAGTAGTTAGTAGTTTATTATTTGTAAAAAGAAATATGGGATATGATAAAAAAAAAAAAAAAATTGTTTGAGTACGGTAAATTTGTGGATGATGAAAGGAGAAAGATATAATAAGATAACATAAGAATTTTCGAGATATAATAAAAAAGAATAGAGAATTTCCTTTTTATCATATCAACACCGGCGTACTTGCTTAGTTAAACTGGACTACTCGAGTACTAACACATAGAGAGTAAAAATTAAAACACTTGTTGCATATATAACAAATTTTATTTAAATCAAACTCATGGACACCCATACTTATCTTACCCTAAAATAGAATAGAAAAGAAAATGTTATATATAATCCTTCGGACTACATATAAGCATTAAAAACACTCTTAAAAATTGTTTAAATTTAAAAAATCATAAAAAAAACACACTAATTATACCGATGTACCGTGTTTTTGTCGTGAATTCCTAATCTTATAAAAAAAAAAAAGGAAGGCAACAATTTTTAACACAAACCCAGTTAGTGAAATTCATTTAAAGAAGGTCCATTCAATTATTCATCTTCAAAAAAGAGAAGTAATACTGTAGTACTGTAGGTTGTAGCTTACTCTTCTCATCAATGTCAAACCAAGAAGAAATTACCATGCTTATTGAAGAGAGAAAAGAATTCATGCTTTCCATAAATAGTAATCAAACACCATCTTCAAGAATAGCCCATTTTCTTAAACCAACTTTTGACCCCAGAAAGCAAACACTTCCAAAACCCCGTTCTTTACCTTCTTCCTCCTTAAAACCCAACATCCAACAACTCAAAAAGAAGGTTTCTTTCAGAGGAAGGCCAAAACCCCAGAAAAATTGGGACACTTGGGTTCAAAATTTGCAGAAAACCCACCAAAATACCTGGAAAAAAGTGGGAGTATTTGATGCAATAAGGGCTTCTACTTATAATATAAGATGGGATAGAGATTTAATCTTTGGGTTAGCTGGAAATTGATGTTCTGAGACTGACACTTTTGTGTTTTCATGGGGTGAATGTAGTATAACTTTGGAAGATGTGATGATTTTAGGTGGGTTTTCTGTTTTAGGGGATTGTGTTAAAAGCCCATTTGAAAATAGAAAAATCGTTGAATTTGGGGAAGAAATGCTGCAGAATTTCATGAAAAATAGGAGGATTTTGGGTCCAGTGGGTCATACTGAATGGATGAGCTATTTCATGGGAATTGGGGGTGAATTAGAGCATGTGGCTTTTCTTAGTCTTTGGCTGTCAAGGTATGTTTTTTCAACTAATCATTATTGTAAAATTTCTCAAGATGTTTTCCCTATTGCAATTTATCTTGCTAGAGGTACTCGAATCGCGCTTGCTCCTGCTGTTTTAGCTTCTATTTATAGAGATTTGAGCTTGTTGAAAGATAAGATTGCAGGGATTTTGAATGAATGGGTAGCTAGAAAACTTGTTTTGTGGGCGCCTTTTCAGTTAGTCCAGCTTTGGGGTTGGGAGAGGTTTCCTACTTTAGGTCCCTCGCCCATCAATATCCTTAATGGTGAGTCGAGATTGAGTCGTTGGCGAAAATTAGAGAGGCCGAATCTTTTACGTGTCATGCTTGATTTTGAGTCTCTTGGGAAGAGTTTTGTGTGGAGGCCTTATGGAATTTGTGTGGAAAACTGGCAGTTTCCAGAATTTTGTGGTGATGAAGAAAGGTTGGTGTTGATTGATTTTGGGGTTGGAGAGGAATTATTGTCATTTGCAAGATGCTTGAGGGCATGTGAGCTGTTAGGATTAGACTGTATTGAGCAATACCTCCCACACAGAATAGGGATGCAGTTTGGATTGGATCAAGATGTTCCAAGTTCCGTGCCTAGATCGAATGAGAGTCATTTAGCTGCTTGGAATAGCTATGACATGCCTCTTAATGGATTGAAGTTGTATTTATCTCCTCGTTTGCTCAAGGGAGATGTCACTGCTCGGTATTCTGACTGGTTCAGGACAGCATTGTGTGCCACCAGCAATAGTGTTTTGGTCTTAAAAAAAAAGAGAAGTCACAGCAGTCGTCTAAGAGTGACCTTCAAACTGTCCAAGGCTTCAGATGGAAGTATGGAGGGTAATGGCAAGCGTGCTCCTATTTGTCCAACTTCCTCGTTTGATGTTCCTGTAGCATCCTGTTCCACTCATAGCGTTGGGGTTGGGAAGATGCACATTGAAGATGGCTCATCTTATGACAAAATCAACATTGAATGCTACGAGGGCATGACATCTCAAAGTAAAAACAAAGTGGCTGTCGTTGAATCCCAGGATTTTGCTGCGAGTACAGAGGATTATAGCAAGCAGGCTCCTGTTTGTTTACCTTCTTTGTCTAATGTTTTTGAGCCTCCTGGTTTTGTATCTAACATTGAGGTAGTGCAAACTGCCGCATCTTGCAGCAATATAAGCAATCCTGACAGAAGTTATGTTGAGAATTCGAGGTGCATTTCATCCGAATGTCCAAATGGATTGAATAAACTCTCCAAGAATTTAGATGTGAATGCGGGAAAAAATATGGACCCTCCCCCTTGTATAGCATCCTCATGTAATGTCCCTGTGTCTTCTGGTTTTCTCACATTCCACGATAAGAGCACCGCTGGTCCTCAGAATGCCCATGTAGATGACTCTGGATGCTTGCCATGTCAAAGTCCGAAAAAACCGAAGATTGAACTGTGCGAGAATCTGGAAGATAACAGCAAGGGGGTTCTTCCTTGTTTACCTTCTCCTAGCAATGTTGCTATAGATTCTGGTTTTGATGATAGTGTTTGGGAGGGATACATTGAATCAATTCCGTCATGTGAGAAGAACAATAGTCGCAACACAAGCCAAGTTGACAATTATGAAGTCATGCCATCTCAAAGCTTACATGTAGCTATTGAGGAAGCTGTTGGTGAAATGGATTCGCAAATGGAACAAGTAGCAAGATACAGGGAAAAATGTGTGAATATGAGCGTTATGAGGAGTTTGGATAGTGTTGCTGAAAAGCATGTTGAAACTGTCCCATCTTGCGACAGAAGTGTAAGCCTTGGAAGAATCTGTGAGGACACTCCATCTCAGATTATGCAAAGGGTTTGTAATGACGTAGAAATGACAGAGTCGGAGAAACATGAAGAACTTGCTGCAGATAAGATATATAAAAGCAAGGAAGAATCAGCAAAGAAAAACCTGGGCCTTGTAGCTGATGATGATGAACAAGACAAGAGTCACAAGACAGCTAAAGATGTAAAGATAAAATCAGGGGATGGTTTATTTGGTGACCCAGTGATCATCAATGATGATAATGATGATATTGGAGCTGAGCTTGAAGCTAGGATTAGTAAGCTAGAGAGAAAATTTGCAAGGATGAAGTCACGTAAGTTAAAGTCCAAAGCAAAGTAGGAGTGTAGGATAGGACGATGCTTGGATCATACTAGTCAGATGCCATATATAGATGTTAATAGGACTTGATGTTAATAGGACCTGTAATCACTCGCTAACTTTTGAAAAAACCCTTTAGCTTGAGTAAGCTGAATCAAACTTCTTGTAAAATTCTATCTCTCAGCCTTTAAATAGAGTACTTATGTTCTATGTTTCTGTAAATTCACTGTCATAAAAAACAATAGTTAAGGCAGTTCTGGAGGAGCTCTGGCCATTGGCTGCTGCATTGAAATGTTAAATGTTTGAGAGTTCTGCTCTTCATGTTTCCTGTAATCTTCTTGACACTGTTATAGCTGGCAATTCACTTATCCATGTGTTTTTTTTCCTGTCATCGTTTGCCAATACACGTATAGTTCTTTGGCCAACCCTGAAGCATGCACAGATGTTCTGCGATATTCTTGAATTTTGTCCAAGCAGCCCCTGAACCATGTCTGTTGCTTCTCTCCTGGTATGTTAATTTCATACATCCTTTAAAATGCATGGTGTTTTTCCTGTCTTTTCTTCCTATTAGTATCATTTCCTGTCTTGGTTCTTTATATTATCAGTTTCTCAAATAAGTAACAATCAAACTAAATTCCTATTATCTTGCTTTTTTTATAGCATTAGCTAGCTTCTCATTGCTAGTATTTCGTGGTAATGGCTGGTTAACTGCTCCAACAGAAAGTTAAATGTGCACTGTTTATGGACCTGAGTTGGTATTTTAGCTTGAATTTGAAATACTAGAAGCTTAACCCTTCCAACCTGATTATTTTCATATTGTAGGTATTCTAGCTTGAATTATTAGATAGATCAAGGAGTTTGGCTGCATTATTTCTGAAGTATTTGCTTCATGAACCATGTATTAATGCTACAAGTATATGATTATATGGTAAATTCACTCTGAATTTTGTTAATATGACAAATTGACAATACCAAAGCTTATACTGTCAATTCACTCTCTGAATCTTAGACCTATTTCGTATTCAACAATAATGTATGTCAGTATATAGATTCGAAACATATAATACATAGTACAACAGTAAGATTTTGCTGCATTTCCTGACACGTTCATTATATTGTTATGATCCAACTTGTTTTGGAATTTTCAACTGCTTTATTAGATAAAAAGATTAGAATAAGTGAAATCAAATATAATCTAATCTTTCCTTGCTTTACTTAATTGCAGATTTGCAGCCATTGCAGGACAGGGATATCAATTATCATACTATCTAAAGAGTCATGTTTTGGGTACGTAAATTTTCGATTCTCTGGAGTTTATTATGAGAAACCGATGTACGGGACAGCTAGTTTAGTTGGTTGGTGGTCTTGAGGTAATACCTAAACGTGATATCACATGTTGTCTAACTTCTACCATTAAGGTTCTTTATAGACCAAAAAAAAAATGCGAAACGAAACCATCATAACTACATGACTAAGGCATTTGACAGTTTTAAGGCCATACAGTACATTTTAGATCAATATAATCATATTACAATTATCTATCAGAATGATAAATTCCAAGTACACGAAAATCATATCTCCACAATCACAATTTCTTTCGTTTACCCTTCTCCCTCATACATACATTTTCTTAGGCAAACCTCCAAAAATAAATTACAAATTGCCAGACACGCTGCTAGATATTTGACAGACATTTCAATGACTGACTTTACCTTGGTGTAATAACAGGTGATGAATGATCAGGTGAATGCGCGCAGTCACTGGTAGCTACGGTCAGACCTCAACGATTCTGATGCAGAATTAACCTCCATCACCTGCTGCTGCTGCATCAAATGCATTCCCTCCTGATCTGCCACATTCCATACCTTTACAGACTTGTCAAGGCTTCCACTGTATATAATATACCGTTGACCTTTAGCATCCTCGTCATCCTCTACAGCCAAGCATTTTACAGGTCCGGTGTGGCCGGTTAAGACAGACAGACAGGTATGAATCGTTCCTTCCCTGCGCCACACACAGATGGTCTTATCAGCTGATCCTGTAAACACGAGCCTAGCTCGAGCAGCCAGGCACAGAACAGCCAACTTGTGACCCCTCAGGACTCCACCGTGTGCAAGATTCTTCTCCCTCTCCCAGAAATTGACCATCCCATCGCTTGAACCACAGTAGACTATGGATCCTGTTGGGTCTACGGCGAGGGCAGTAACTGCGCATTCCTGCTGCAGAAGTGTCTGTATGAAGAAATGCTTCGTAACCTTCCCCTGCATTTCTCTCCTCCACACCTTCACTGTTCCATCTGCAGACCCTGTGAAAACCATGCCCTCTGAACTCGTCACCACCGAATTCACCGCATCCTCATGGGCAGCTACCGACTCCAAACACCTGGAGTCGGATATCCTCCAAACCTTAAACGTCCTGTCCCACGAAGACGAGTATAATATCCCTTGTTCGGCATTCATACTAAGACATGAGATAGCATCCGAATGCTTGATCCATAACGAACTACGATGCCTCTTCACCTCAACATAATTGCTTGGCCTAATAGACGCCTTAAACAAATCCTTCAATGTTGGTAACGAACCTGACCGTTTATGGATACTAGGATTCTTAGGCGACACCTTCCAAACTCGGATCTTACCGTCTTGATGACCCGTAAATATCTTCCCACCTGCTATAACAATAGCCTTAACTAATCCAGAAGCGGACTTAAACCCGGAAAATTCCTTAAGATTCTTCCAAACACGAATATTCTTACTGTCGGACCCTGTATACAACAAGTCCCCCTTTGTAGCCAAGGAGTAAATGTGGCCTTCTTCTCGGACAAGCGATCCAATAAGCGAGCTAAGCTGGCCGGAATCATCAGATTGTTGAGACCAAGGGGATTTGGCAAAAGGGGACACCTGATTCCAAGGGGACATCATCATAGGAGACATCTCGGCGCTCATCTTTGGTACTTCGTCGATGAACGAGTTCCCTCCCATCGTCGAAAAGCTACTTTGTCGAGCCATACACTCGCTCCCGTCCGTGCTCATTCTCGGAATGTTTGGATCAGAATGCACCACCATGTTGGGAGAATGATGATACATACTTGCTATTCTTTTTGTGATATTATCTCCCTTTTTCCTCTCCCAAGAAAAAAAAAACCAAATTATAAATCAACCATCAAATAAATAAATAAAAAAAAAAACAATAAAAATAAAAATAATGGAGAAATATATTAGTATAGTTATTTTTAAAGAGAAAATATAGGAGAAAGAGATGGTTGTTGAAAGACAGAGAAGGTGGTTAAGAAGTAGTTAGGATGATAAAGGGAGAAAAGGCGGGAGAGAGAATTGGATTAGAAATAGAAAATATCAAACATTCATTTAGTTGTTGACACGTAGGGATTTTATAATTGGTTATATTAATTAACTCATAAAAATAATCCCCGTAAAATTAGGGTGGGGACGCGTTATTTTAATTTTATTATGATTATTGTTTCCCATTTTATAAATAATTAGATATTGTTTTTTTTTTTTTTTTTTTTTTTTACAACAGCATAATTAGACATGCTGATGAGATCATATAAATGTTGGTAGGAATAATAATTGAATGGACGTGCTTATTTGTACATCGCTGGATTTTGACGAATTTTCAGGCCAATATATTCGATTGTGTAGTACATCTTTTTTGTATGGACATTGGATAATATATAAACCCATAATAATGAATATGGATTTTAATCCATTATTGGACTAGTTTAAGAGAAGTGAAGATGTGATCAATTATGAGATGTTCTTATATGGAGGGGGTGTTGATGGGACGACTGAAAACCATGTGATAAATGAAATCGAACTAGTCAAAATAAATTTGTCAATATATATATATATATATATGAGCTTAATATGCGAAATAAAGGATATGTAATTTTTTTTTTTTTTTTTTTTGACATCGTTTGTAATCCTTTATTTGGTTAAGATTTAAGTTTATATGAATTTGAGTTGGATTTGAGATATTATTGAGCTGAGCTGAGTCGAACAACTCATACAAGATTTGTAAAGCTTATTAGCTCGCCAAAAACTTGGAAATATTATTTTACATATAAAAAAATTATTAATCATTAATTGTTTGTTGATAAATTTATTATAGTAAATTTTATTTTTGCCATCTATATACATATCTATCACTATAACTATTATAAAAGCAAAAACCACTATCAATCTCCCTCCATTTTTTATTTTATATTTATACTTCCTAAATTTTAGTAAGGTTTTTAGTTGGTTACTTTTTTCTTTATTTTAAAAAAAATATTTACTCCATTTGTTTTACACTCATTTGTAACTTATTGCCAAAAAAATTATCTTAGTACCAATACTAAGGGCCTGTTGCGTTCAACTTAATTTTAGTTCAGTTCTAATTTCTTTCTCTCATAAACAATTCAGTTCATCTCTATTTAGTTCACTTCAGTTTAGTTCAGCCCCAATCAGTTCATTTCAGTTCATTTTAATTCAGTTGTTTTAAGTAAATCGGAACAGGCCCTAAAAAGAAGTTTTTTTGGAGGGAATTTTCCCTCCTAAACCTAATTTTTATTTTATTTTATTTATTTTTATTTTATTATGAAAATAATAGATCTATTATTTCCCCAAAAAAACATTTATAACAACATTGTATTATACATTGTAAGGGTGTGTTCTATTCACCTGATTTTCACTTATCTGAATCTTATTTGAACTTACCTGAACTTATTACACCTTATTAAAACTTATTTTAGTTGTAATTTGTATTGGGTAACCCTTATCAGAACTTATTTTCCCAACTTATTTTAGTTGTAATTTGTATTGGGTAACCCTTATCAGAACTTAGGGTGCGTTCTATTCACCTGGTTTTTACTTATCTGAACTTATTTGAATTTATCTGAACTTATTAGACCTTATTATAACTTATTTTAGTTATAAATTAAACTTGGGTAGCCCTAATTAACCTTTATCACAACTTATCTGAATTTATCTGAACTTATTTTTTCTGAACTTATTAACCCTTATCTGAACTTATTAACCCTTGAAATAAGTGGAAATAAGGTGAACAGAACAGGGCCTATTTTTCCTAATCTGAACTTATTTGAAGTTAACTAAACTTAGCTGAAATAAGTGAAAGTAGGTGAACATAACAAACCCTAATACAAGTATTTTTTTTCAATTAACAATTACAACCAATTTATATTTGACTAAATTACAATTTATGTAACCAAGTACGATAGTAACTTCAAAATTCTAGTATAGCTTGGACATTAACTAGTGTTTGGGTCCAATTTAGTCCAAATTGGGCCTGAGCACTAAATGATCCAATTAAAAGCCCAAGGTCAAGGTTCAACTCTCCAATTGCTCAAAAGTCAAAGGTCAGCCCACAAAGTAAGCCAATTGGGCTAAAGCCCAACCTCTCCATGTATGATGAGGTATAAAAGCCATCATATTAACACATTCACGACATACACTAATATTCCAATTCATATGCTCATTCTTGCATTCAGAAATATTCCACAAAAGCCTCAAGCTACAAACTCTCTTGCATAGTGTCTTCCTTTTACACATTGTACTGACTTTAGCATCGGAGGGGCCTTCCTCGGAAACACCCCCGAGGCTAGTTTACGTGCGTTCACTGTGCAGGAAACCTTCGGCCCAACACAACTTGGACCGAATCCAGTCTTCTCCATCTCAGCGGACCTTCGGCAAGGTCCCATTGTTTTCAACCGAAACAATTTGGCGCCGTCTGTGGGGAAGACTTTCAAAATTCTTTAAGCCAAATTCCTAACCAAGATCATCTTGCAATTATCTTAGCAGCCATGGCTAAGAACCGCAAGAGCAAAAGCCTCCGTCAAGGAGCGGGCGAAAAGCCTAAAACCCCTACACCATCGCCCTCGCCGGACCGGAACTCTCCCAAGGGTGCCGGCTCGGAGGGAGGATCACACAAGGAGGATTCCTTATCTCCTATAATGCATGACTCTCAATATAGGCCGGACCACTCTCGGTCTAGCAGGGGTCAGTCTGATCATAGGACATATTCAGTGTCCCAAAGCCAACCATCGGCTGCACGGCCTCATTACCACACTCGGCCGGGGACCCCTTTGACGGGGCCCAGTTCGGAAGAGGTGGCAAGAGCGCTGGCAGTGCTCATGGAGGCAATGAGGGCACAGAATATGCCACCGCCTCGTGATCAAACTCCTCCGCATACCCGGCATCAGCGGAGGAAGTTAGACCATGACGGTGGGAAGCTTCCTTCCTTCCGGGAACTGGAAGAGTGGGAGGAGGATTCTTGGAAAAATGAAAAACAGAGGAAAAAGAACTCTCAATTATTTAAAGGATCCTCATCCTCAAGACCAGCAGCGCATAAGAGCAGCAGCTCAGCTTCTCGGCCAGAATCTACTCGCCGGGAACCCGAGACTGCTCGCAGAAGCGTCCTTGACCGACTCGGCGGCCAGGAACCGAGCGTGCGTAGTCGCCTCTCGTTCCCTGCAGCCGAGGCCCAGACTTCCCAGCCAGGGACGAAAACCACTCCTACCTCTCTAAGAGGGCGGAGCGCGGTCCCTTCGGCCAGGAACAAGGGCAAGGCCATTATGCTTCCCGCTAGTTCACCATTCGAGCAATGGATACTGGAAGAGCGCGTACCCACGGTTAAAATACCGTCGCATATCACATATGACGGGACCACGGATCCGAAGGACCACGTGGCCTCGTATGAGACTCATATGCATCTTTGCCCCAGATCCGAGGCGACTTGGTGCAAATATTTCCCAACCACTCTCAAGGGGGTCGCGCAAGCGTGGATCTCCAAGGGAGTAAGGCAAGGCTCCATAACAGGTTGGGATGATCTGTCCTCCAAGTTCAGGAGCAAGTTTTCCACGGCAAACCGCCGAGAGAAGACTACCGCAGAGCTCATGGGTCTGCAACAGGGGGAAACCGAAAGCCTCCGAGACTACCTGACCCGTTTCAGTAACGAGTCATCAAGCGTCTCCCAGCTGGACCAGGGGCTAGCTGTTTTTGCAATGCAGAATGGCCTTCAGCCAGGAAAATTCCTAGACTTCATGGTCATGCATACCCCGCAGACCTTGGAGGAAGCTCTTAGTGCTTCGGATAAGTTCATCCGAGCCGAAGAATGGAATAAAGCAAAAACCCAACCTCAATCCGGGGGAGGGAAACAGAGGCAAATACCCTTGTCTGAAGGCCAAGGCAATAAGGCAAAGGGAAAATCAAAGGCTCCGGAGCCATCTTCGGCCAACGACCTAAAGAAGGACAGGTTTGCCTCATACACAGGCAGATACGAGTCCTACACTCCGCTCTCTCTTCCACGCGCCAAAATTTACAGTGTGACGAAGGAGGAACAGAGTTACCGAAAGCCGAGACCACTCCCAGAGTGGTATCAGCGAAAAAATAAAAATCAGTGGTGTGAGTTCCACGAGTCTTCGGGCCACAACACTGAGGAGTGTATCCAGCTGAAGGACCAGATAGAGGACATGGTCCGGAAAGGATACTTGAAAAAATACATCGCGGATCACCGCGAGAAAAAAGAATCCGAGAGGCTAGCAAAGGACCCTCGGCAGGACCTTGATTTCCCCCGGAAAAACAGTAAAAAACCGGAGGGGAAATTCCCTCCGATCAATGTTATCTCGGGAGGAATATACTCTCGGAGGGAGCACAAGCGTCACCTTAGAGCTTTGACTCACCAGGTGAACAACGCTGACATTCAATCTCCCCAGTCGCCGGTGCCGAACATGACGTTCACAGCCGCCGACTGCCGGGGGATTACGTTCCCTCACGAGGATCCGTTGGTGATCATCGCCACGGTGGCCAACCACGACGTCAGTAAGGTCCTTGTTGACGGTGGCAGCGGAGCAAACATTCTGTTCCGAAAGGCCTACAACCAAATTAAGCTGAAGCCCAAGCACCTTACGCCGGTACCCTATCCGGTATCCGGGTTCAATGGGGCTTCAACTTATCCAGATGGGAAGGTGACGCTTCCTGTCACCATCGGTTGCGATGAGGCAGCCCGGAACGTCATGATTGAGTTTTTGGTCATCGACGCTCCTTCAGTGTACAACGTGATTTTGGGGAGACCCATAATTCACGAGATCCAAGGGGTCGTCTCAACTTATCATCAGCTGATGATTTACGTCTCAGACGCCGGCTTCCCCGAAAGGATACAGGGCAACCAAAAGGACGCCCGAAGGTGCAACTACCTCAAGCCATCCAGTAGTCGCCCAGATAACGACAAGGATGAGGAGGAGAAAGAAAAAGAAAGAGAGCCAAGCACAAAAAAGCCGAAAGGCCTAAGTGCATCGGCCCAAGGATCCGTGCCCAGAGAAAAAGGTCCCGAAAGGGAGAAGGTTGACTCTTCAGCTGAGCCGCAAGACTCAGAGAGCCAGCCGAAGAACACAAAGACTGGGACACCTGCTGACATTGGCAGCAGACCAGATTCTGAAGAGTCCAGTCCATCGGCAATGGACATGGACCAACAGACTGAAACAGTTGAGTTGGCCGAAGGAGATGCTGAGAAATGTGTAACAATCGGGATGGACCTTGATCCTAACACCCGTTGTGAACTTATTCAGCTCCTTCGGGATAACAGAGATGTGTTTGCTTTCTCGGCAGCTGATATGCCCGGGATAAGTTCAGACCTCATCTCCCATAAGCTTAATGTTGACCCAGCATGTCGACCAGTTAAGCAAAAGAAGCGGAATTACTCCGCCAATAAGAACCGAGACATCGCAGCTGAAGTCAAAAAATTATTGGAGGCGGGGTTCATTGAACCTTGCCAATATCCGGAATGGCTGGCAAATGTGGTGATGGTTCAGAAGCCCAATGGTACCTGGAGGACGTGCGTTGACTTCACGGACCTAAATAAGGCTTGTCCAAAGGATTTCTATCCCTTGCCAAGAATCGATCAGCTAGTCGATTCGACAAGTGGCCATGCCTTGCTTAGTTTCATGGACGCATTCTCGGGGTATCATCAGATCTTTATGCACCCCGACGATCGAGCCAAGACAGCATTCGTCACGAACGCTGGGGTGTATAATTACAAAATGATGCCCTTCGGATTGAAAAATGCGGGGGCAACCTATCAAAGGCTGGTGGATCAAGTTTTCGCCGATCAAA